GAATCCCCAACCGGGACCTGGCCCCGCCTCCGGGGGCGGGGTAGGTGGCGGCGGTGGCGGTGGGGGTACGTTCCGGCCAGCCCACCAATGGGGCAGGTGCGGGACCCAACCACTCCACCCCCAATACCCGTCCAGCCCGCGCGGCTGGTCAGGCTCGCCATCGCCCGTCCGGTTTCCCGGGGCGGACGGCTGCCCAGGCGCGCCCGTGGGCTCGTCGTTCCCTCCGTATGCCGGCGTAGCTGGGCTGCCCGTGGGCTCGCCCTTGCCTACGCGCCCGATGCCCGCGGGTGTGGTCGTTGTCGTCGACCCTGACCGCGGCGGCGCGGGGGCGCCCGGCGTCCCCGGGGGCTTGGCCTGCGGCCCTCGCCCCTTTCCCCCTGCAGGCGCGGGCTTGGCGGGCGGTCCTCGCCCCTTGCCTTGCCCCCCACCGCCTGTCGGCAGCGCTGTCGGCCCGGGCAGGGCTGACGGCGTCGGCGCTGGGACCTCATTTCCCCCGCGCCCGAACGGCAGCCAGCCAAGTGCCCCTTGGACCGTGAAAGCACCGCCCATAACCAAGATCATCAGGTGCGCTCCCAGGAAGCCCAGAGCCATGGCACCACAGACGCGCTACCTAGTCCGCGGACTAGCACGGCTGTGGTTGTGGCCGCCCCGCGGCCCCCCGGAACACCCGCGCGTCGGCCAGAGCCGAACGCTACGGACCCAAAATGGCTACCTGAGCCCACACCCCCTCCCACTTAACCTGCAGTCTACAACCAAACAGACTATACAACAGCCCGCGCGCAGGTGGGGCCCCGGGTGGGCGTGGCCGGAGCGTCGGGCCGCATCGCCGACGCGTCCGCGATGCATCGCCGATGCATCCGCGATCCTCGATCAGGGGGCCACATGCGAACCCGACCCATGCCCCCCTGCTATTTCTGAGGGTGCGGGTGGGGTTCACTTCGCTCGGGAGCTCCCGAACGAAGTGAACCCCACCCTCCTCCTCTGAAATCGTGAGGGGTAGGGGTCGGGTTCGCATGTGGCCCCCTATCGATCGCGCCGCATCGCCGACGCGTCCGCGATCCATCGCCGACGGCGGGATGGAAAAGCGCGATCCTCGATCGCGCCGCACCGCCGGTGCATTGCCGATGCATCGGCGATCCTCCGACCCCGTTCGCTCCAGCCCCCGGAGCGGCCTGGAACGGAAGGGGGGGGAGGGCAAGAGAGGCGCCACGCATCCAGCGGGCACGCGGAGAGAAAGAGGAAGCGAGGAGCGAGAGGGAAAGAGAGAGGAGACACGGTGGTGGGGAGCGGAGGATGACGGAGGGAGGGGAGGAGGTGGAAATTCTTAGGGGAGGAGGAGGCGGAGGAGGAGGAGAATAAGAAGAAGATTAAGAAATAGAAGAAGAAGAAGAAGACGAAGAGGAATAACAATAAGAAGAAAAAGAAGAAGAAGAAATAGAAGAAGATGAGGAGAGGGGGAGAGGGGGAGGGGAGGAGGGGGAGGGAGGAGGGAGGGAGGGAGGAAGGGAGGGAGGGAGGGGAGGAGGAGGAGGAGGAGGAGGAAGAAAGGAAGGAAGGAAGAAATGAAGGAAGGGAGGAAGGAGGAGAAGGAGGAGGAGGGAGGAAGAGGAGGAGGAGGAGAAGGAGAAGGAGGAGGAGATGGAGGAGGAGGGGGAGAAGAAGGATGAAATAACGGGCGCAGGGAGGGAGGAGGAGGGTGAGGACGGAGAGGGAGGGAGGAGGATGGAGCGGAACGGAGACTGGAGCGGAAGGGAAGGGGGAGGGAGGGAGGAGGAGAGGGGGGAGGATGGAGGAGGATGGACGAGGAAGAGAGCGGGGGAGGAGGGAGGCGGCGCGGGGTCGACAAGGCCCGGCGGGGCGCCCGCGGTGCGAGCCCACGGCGCGCGCAGCTCGCCACGCCGAAGCTGCAGCGAACGGCAGCAGACGTCGCCCGCTGCCCCGTGGGTCGCAGCCCCACTGCTGCAGTCGGCGCCAGAAAAGGACCCGGGGGCTCGAGCGTCGGGGGGAGGACACGCGCGTGACCACTACTCTGGGTTTCTTAATAAGCGTGGGGGGGGCCCCGACGGGGGTCAACCTCGCCTCGTCGTCGCGCCGCGACGGGGGTCGGAGAGCCTTCGGCGCGCGGTGGCTGCCCGCGACGGGGGGCGATGTGGGGCTGTCGGCCAGGGTGACGCCCCCCCGACGCTCATTAAAAAACTCGGAGTAAGCGGTGCAGCGGCAGGACGGTACTCCTCCTCCTCCTCCTCCTCCTCCTCCTCCTCCTCCTCCTCCTCCCTCCTCCTCCTCCTCCTCCTCCTCTTCCTCCTCTTCCTCCTCCTCTTTCTCCTCCTCCCCATCCTCCTCCTCCTCCCCCTCCTCCTCCTCCTCCTCCTCCTCCGACGACGACGACGACGACGACGACGACGACGACGGCGACGGCGACGGCGACGGCGACGGCGACGGCGACGGCGACGGCGATGGCGACGGCGACGGCGACGACGACGAGGAGGCGGCGCTGCGGCCGCCGCCTCTCCGCCACAGAAGTGCGGCCCGCCCCTCAACAGCATAAGCTGTGCGGCGCGCACCTGAGACGAGCTCATGAGGCTTGGGGGCTCCAAGCCCAAGAAGCCCCCGGGAGAACCCACGAGGGGCCGAACAAAGCTCCAAGGGGTCCTCAAGAAGGGCCCAAGCGAGTCTCAAGAGGGCACTAAGTAGGTTGTGCAATTGCACGCCGCATTTGGGGCCCTCTTGGGCTCCTCCTGGTCCCCCTTTGAGGTGCTCTTGGAACCTTCTCGAGGCCTTCTTGGGGCTCTCCAGAGCTAATCCCGAAGCTCCAGAACGATCTCAAGAGAGGATTCAAGTGCGGCGTGCAATTGCACGCCGTACTTGGGGCCGTCTTGGGTTCCTCCTGGAGCCCTCTTGGGGCTCTCTTGGCCCCTCCTGAGCCCGCTCGGGGCCCTCCTGCAAGAGAGCCCCAAGAGAGGTTCCCCAGAGGCCCACGACAGGCTTACACACAGCCTGTGCACAGGCCTGTGGTAGACCTGCGCACAGCCTATGCATAGGCCTGTCGCGGAGCGCCGACTCCCGGAGAGGCTCCCCAGAGGCCCAGAGGCCAACGACAGGCCTGCGCACAGCCTCTGCACTGGCCTGTGGTATGTCTGCGCACAGCCTATGCACAAACCTGTCGCGGAGCGCCAACCCCCAGAGAGGCTCCCCAGACGCCCGCGACAGGCCTGTGCACTGTGGTAGGCCTGTTCGCAGCCTATGCATACGCCTGTCGCGGAGCGCTGGCCCCTGGAGGGGCTCCCCAGACGCCCGCGACCGGCCTATGCACAGCCTGGGCACAGGCCTGCGCGCAGGCCTGTGGTAGGCCTGTGCATAGCCTATGCATAAGCCTGTCGCGGAGCGCCCGCTCCCGGAGAGGCTCCCCAGAGGCCCACGACATGCCTGTGCACAGCCTATACATAGTTCTGTCGCGGAGCGCCGGCTCCCGGAGAAGCTCCCCATAAGCCCACGACAGGCCTGTGCACAGGCCTGTGGTAGGCCTGAGCACAACTTATGCATGGTTCTGTCGCGAAGCGCCGGCCCCTGGAGAGGCTCCCCAGAGGCCCACGACAGGCCTGTGCACAGCCTGTGCACAGGCCTGTCACAGGCCTGCACAGCGTATGCATAAGCCTGTCGCGGCAAGCTGGCCCCCAGATAGGCTCCCCAGACGCCCGCGACAGGCCTGCGGTAGGCCTGTGCACAGCCTATGCATGGGCCTGTCGTGGCGAGCCGGCCCTCGGAGAGGCTCCCTAGACGCCCGCGACAGGCCTGTGCACACCCTGTGCACAGGCCTGTAATAAGCCTGTGCACAGCCTATGCGTGGTTCTGTCGAGGAGCGCCTGCCCCCGGAGAGGCTCCCCAGAGGCCCACGAGAGTCCTGTGCACAGCCTGTGCACAGGCCTGCACAGCTTATGCATAGGCCTGTCGCGGAGCGCCGGCCCCCAGAAAGGCTCCCCAGAGGCCCGGGACAAGCAGGTGCACACCCTGTGCACAGGCCTGTGGTAGGCCTGTGCAAGCCTATGCATAGGCCTGTCGCGGAGCGCCTGCCCTCGGAGAGGCTCCCCAGAGGCCCGCGACAGGCCAGTGCACAGGCACAGGCCTGTGGTAGGCCTGTGCACAGCCTATTATTAGGCCTGTCGCGGAGCGCCGGCCCTCGGAGAGACTCCCCAGAGGCCCGGGACAGGCCTGTGCAACCAGTGCACAGGCCTGTGGTAGGCCTAGGCACTGGCTATGCATAGGCCTGTCGCGGAGCGCCAGCCCCTGGAGAGGCTTCCCAGAGGTCCTATCACAGGCATGTACACAGCCTATGCACAGGCCTGGGGTAGGCCTATGCACAGCCTATGCACAGGCCTATGACGCAGGAGCCCACAGGTCATGAAAAAGCCGATCGACAGGCCTATCGTAGGCCTGTGACGCAGGAGCCCACAGGCCCTGTCACAGCCTGTCGGGAGGCCCATCGTAGGCCTATGAGTTGACGACGCTAAGGCCTGTAATAGACCTATCGACAGGCTGTGCATCGGCCTACTGTAGCCCACACGAGCGACACTTGGCGTACTGCTGCTTCTGGCCTCCAGACTGCTCACCCCTGTTTCCATTGCCACCCATGCGCAATGCCATAGGACTGAGAGCCTGCCCCGCCAGGAGCGAACGATGAAAGCGTCCACGACCGCACGAGAACGCCTGCTGTGGGACAGCTCGCCTCGAGCCAGCCCCTCGGCTGCAGGCAAGTACGAAGCCGCAGGGCCACGGTTTCGTACTTGAGCCAAAATCGCTACGGGGAGGAGGAGGAGGAGGAGGAGGAGGAGGAGGAGGAGGA